GGCTTGAGACAGGGTTGGGTCATTGTGAGTGTGGAATCTTTATCATCCAAGACCAAACGAAGGCTCACATGCAAATTTTCACCACCCGAGGTGAGCAAAGCAATGGACAATGTCACTACTCCACATTTGTGATGCTACCGGGGTTGTCTCTGGATTTACAACCAGGCACCCTCCCCCTCCCCCTCTTATTAGAAAGAATTCTCCCCCTAGGACTCAGACAGCTGTTTTTGTTTTACTTACACTGAAAGACTGCTTTCCTCATCCACCAGGAGTACGCACCAGTACAAAGTGCTAACCTCGTTTGGATTTGAACCCCTGCCCTCACAAGCAACGGGAGGCGGAGGGCAGCCTGTGTTGGCTCAGCTGTGAGAAGTGCTTTAAATCCCCTTCTGACGTATGTTACACTGTTAACTAGAAAACAAAGCGCAGCACACATGCTTCTAGTAACCGTGCTTCCAGATCATATGATCTCCTCTTTGTCTCGGACAGCTTTTGATGTGCATTCCCAATATTGAGTTTCTCTGCTTTTAATAATCTTATATCCCTTCCTCAATATAAATGTCATGAAAATGCTGCATGCTAATCTTCAAAGATCAAACAGGGAGAATGAGGTGGGCAGCATAGTCCAGCGACTGGAATTCCTGAAATTTCTCTTTGAAAACATTGATTTTCACTTATAAAAGCCTTCGCTCAAGAAGCTGGCTCCTCTATTTAAAGTGGAAACTGTCCGGTCCCTTCCATTTCAGAAAAATGTTAATTACGAAATAATTAGCTCTCTGCCTGCAGAGGACCTGAGACACAGGGGCCACCTGATCCATATTTCTTTCTACATTTGTGTCACCAAACACAGGAGCCCTGGGAACTGCCGGCTGCCGGCTGTTACATCCCCATCTCTGCTGTAGCTGGGGTGACCTGCACCCCCGGTGTGCCAGGGACAAGGGACATTGCAAACTGGGGCAGCCTCTGCCCAACTGGGCCGTCTGTCACTTCAGTTTGGGCATCAAAGACCTCTTTGGGGAACTACGTCGTCACTTGTAAGAGCTGTTCACATGTTCGAAGGCATCGAGTTTGTTTTCTCTGACAGGCAGGGGCCTGATTCTCTTCATGGAAGAATGGAAAGTGACATTCTGAGCTCCTACTTGCCTAGGTTCCCATGGGTAACATGGACTAGAGGGGAAGTTTAAGCCTCAACAATCTGATGTTTTTAAAGCCAGGCTTGGTGCTGTATGCTTTTAATCCCAGCACTTCGGGAGGCTGAGGCAGGAGGATCACAAGTTCCAGCCCAGCTGTGGGCAGCTTAGCAAGACCCTGTCTCAAAATAAAAAATATAAAGGGCTAGAGATGTAGCTCAGCATAAAGGCACAGGGGTCAATCCCTAGTACAGTTTTAAAAAAGGAAGAATAAATAATAATTATCATTACCTTCTGTGCTGGGGTCTGAGCTCACGAGCACAGGAAGCTAGTGCTTTACCACCGAATCCCACGCAGCCCCAGCCTGCATCCGCTGGAGAGGGGAGTAGAGAGGTGGGACCTGACCTGACTGGTCCGGTGCCTGGCAGGAGGAAAGCACACTATGCTCCCCTCCTCTCCCAGCTCAGGCAAGGAGGGCACCCCAGGACAGGGCCGCATGCCAGGGCTGAGGAATCTGTAGGAGTATTTTAGTATTGTATTAATTTGGTGGGAAGAGATTGCATGCATGAGCACAAGTGTGAATTCACAGCCAGGCCCAGATCTGTGAACACTGCACACCTCTCCCTTCACACTGAAGGTCAAGGTTGCCGAGTGGCTTGCGGCTCAGCAGGTGGCAGATCGGCTTTCTCAACCACGCAAGCCCCTTCCTATCTTATCTCAAAGCGGGGCCTTTCCCCGAGCCCCGTTCCTGGGTGGCTCCTTCAGTGAAGCTCGAACCTCGCCAGGCCCTGTGGCTGGCGGCGCGGTCTTCATCTGTGAGTCAGCGACCCCTAAGTGAGTGGAGACCCTCATCCACCCACAGACCTGGCCGGAGGTCTCTGGGTGCTGAGCTGGCCCTGGTGGATTCCCGAGATCACCTTGACCTGGACTCTGAGCCCTGTCACGGTCGCAAGGCTCCCTCCCCTGGGCTAGCAGTGCCTGGTCCTCCTGGCATCCATGGTAACGAACTTTCTCCAGTGAGGTTCCTTTCTCCTCTGCTGCTCTGATCGCGCACTTCCTCTTTGGCCTGCGAGCTGTTGGCTGAAAACAAATGCTCTATAAATTAAGAGGAGCACGAGCTTCACCCCAGCCCTCCTGGCTCCTGTGGCCAGCCTCCCCCAGCCTCCAGGCCTGCACAGAGGAGCTCACAGCCACTGGGCCCTGACAGGCTGCCCCTGCCCAGGACAGCAGCCCATGGCACAGAGGACAGCATCTGTCAACCGGCCCAGGGTCACAGCACAGAGCAAGAGGAAGGCCTGCAGCAGCCTCCTGCTCCATGCTGTCTGTGGACAAGGAAGCCCTGCTGCTCCCTGTGGGTGACCCTGACCCTGGGAAAGGGCAACACGGAGGGGAATGCTCTCTGCTTTGCTAATTGTCAGTCTAAGAGTCAGAAAGGTGCACTAAGGAACCAGCTCAGGGCGTGGTGTGCACCCCTGTAACCCTAGGCCCGGGAGGCTGAGGTAGGAGATCCTGAATTCAAGGCCAGCCTGGACTAACAAAGCAAGACCTTATCTCAGAAAACAGACAAATACTGCTGCTTTGAGCTTGTTCTTTTTTTTTTTTTTTGGTGCCGGGGATTGAACTCGGATCCTTCCGCTTGCGCAGCAGGCAGCAGAATCACTGAGCCAAATCCCCAGCCCCTTTGAGCTTGTTCTTATAAAGGAAAAACTTTCAGCCAATGTCCAAGAACGTGGGTCTTGGATAAACTAGAAGAGGTGGGAGAGGTGTATTCTTGATTACGGCTAGGCACAGGTGGTCTGCACCCTCACCCCTCTTTTCTATTCAAGTAAACAACTAATGAAAAATATAACCAAAGTCAAACATTATTGTTTTTATTGCCAATGTTTAAGTAAAACATTTTTCTTTAAAGTGGCTAAAATGTTATTAAATGCTTATATGTGTACTACATTATTAAGGATATGATTGCTCATCTTTACCCTATGCCTTTAAATTAGGTTCTGTATTAGTTTTCCTGTTGCTGGGACAAAATACCAACACCTGCTACTTTAAGGAGAGGTTTTTCTGGCTTACAGCTGCAGAAGGTCCAGTCCATGGTCTGTGGCTCCAGGGCAGAAACAGTATGTGGAAGGGCCTGGAGGAGTACAGCTGCCCACCCCATGGTGGCCAGAAAGCAGGGCAGAGAAGGGAGCCAGGGCGAGAGATCCACCCTCCAAAGACACCTTAGTGACCCACTTCCTACAATCTAGCCCTACTTTTCAATAGCAAATTCAGCTGGAATTCATCCATGGATGGATGCACTGATGAATACAGTGGTCCCACAACCCAATCACCTTGCTAAAACTGTACCTCTGAACACCAGACTTTGCAGGGGACATTTTAGATCTAAGTCCTAACAGATTGGTTCTGTGGTTCCTGACCTATAGAGTATGTCAGAATCACTGGGAGGGTTGTTAAAATACAGATTTCTGGGTCTCATCTATTCAATTTCTGCTTTGAGGTGATGCTGGATTATTTGCATTTCTAATGAGCTCCTGGGTGGTGCTGCTGAACCCCACTTTTAAGAAATCTCAAGATAGGACTCAACTTTGAAGGTATATAGATAGCAGAACTCTATTCACTACCTACAGGGTGGGTGGTGCCTGGAATGAGTGTGTAATGTGGGCAATAAGGAAAGGAGGGAATCAAGGGACTCAGAGGTGAAGGGACTGGAGGGGCCAGAGGCTGGAGAGACACAAGAAGGAAATGGGAGTGAAGGGCTTGTCCAGGAATTCAGGGGAGAGAAGCCCCAGCCTGCTGGAGCTTGCCGCCATGGGGGTGGGTGTTATTGAGTTGGATCGAGGCGGTGACAGGCGGTGTACCTAAAACAGGTGGACAGGCTCTGAAGGTTTTATTGTGCTCCCTTCTGTATGAAATAGCAGAGATGGACGAGTTCTTTGAACCTTAACAGTGATACTCATTTTCCTTGGAAGTGTGTTTTAATTGCCAGATGGGAGATTTTCTTTTGGGTAAGGAAGGTCATAAAGCTAAGCTGGGACAATGGAATGACCGACCACATTTCTTTTCTGTTATCAATATGGCTGGGCTCTAAGTTGGAGAGGCTTTTCTTCTTTAGAGTCTTAAAACACGAGTCTAAGTTCATCTGCAAACTTCAAGGCAGAAAAGGTTGCAACTCTATTCTCATTTCCAGTTTCTTACATTCTGTTGGTTATAATCATTCAGTATGTGATACTGATTTAAAAAATTCAAAACTTGCCATATTTAGGTAGATAGTATTTGGTTATGAAATCACTGGGATTCTTCCTTCCATGCATGGTCATTAGCAAAAGAATGCTGTTTTAGTTTTTAAGTGCTGGGGACCAAACCGAGGGCTTCATCTGTGCTAAGAGGAACTGACACCTTGCTACACTCTGAGCCCCTAAACCTGTTCTAAAAGGATCCTCAAAAAAATCATTTCAGTGAAGTAAGAGCAAATAGGAATTGTGATTACTCTTTCTATAACATGTCAATCATTAGGAGAAATAATATTAAAATTCCCAAATACTTGTATGAGAGCAATATTCAGGAATAATATTGTAAACATTTTTAATAAACAGCAGCATAAAATAATCAGTGTTTAATATCATCTCTTGTGTATGAAATACAAACACATATATCCTTGATATAAAATAGCCTTTGTGTCATTACAATTCCATGCTTCTCTACTTGAAATGCCCATAATAACAAATCAAAATTAAGTAATATAGTGATTAAGTGCATGCAGTGAAAATAAAGGAAAGATATGGCAAGGTGAGAAATATAATTACTGCCATTATATACTTGAAGAAAATCTATACTGAATTAAAAACAAAGGAAACAAGGAAACAGACCAGATATAAAAATGCAGATATATTTTCATTTCTGTGATACAAACCATAAACATAGTTTTGTGCAAAAAAAGAATCTGAAAAATAAAGTCATCTTACAAAACATTGTCAACAAGGCAAAAGATATTTTTTCAGTCTGTGAAAAAAAATACTATTTAATACAAAGGGACTGTGTTTTGCAATATCACAGTGCTCTTAGAAAACACATTATTACAAGTGGTTTTGAAATTTAGCCTGCTTACTGTAATGATTTCAGTTATTACAAACTGCTTCAAAAAGTTATAGTTCTTTATTTAAAAACTAACTTGAATTTATTTTTTAACCATGAGAATGTTTTTTCAGAGAAGTATTTTACTGGCTCACGGAATGCTAATTTCCCTTTAAGGGACTTATAGAAAAACTCAGATTCACTGAAGTTGTATTTACTTAAAATAATAAATACTCTTGGAAAAAAATTGATTGTCATATGATAAAATTGTGGTTTGAAGCTTCATCATTAAACAGTTGCATAGCAACAAAAGGACTCAAATATTCTCCTTTACTAAAGTTAAGAAATGTAACGTCTGACTCAGCTTATTCATGCCACAAAGGTACGATCAATGTATCTCCCAGTAAATCTGAAGGCAGCCAATTCTTTTGAGTTCACAGTACCTATAAGTTCATGTTTGCTGTTTGAAGACGCAGGCTTGGGAAAGTTGCAACACATTTTGGTAAACAGACTGCCTTGATTTTTTTTGCACTTAATTGTATTTTTAAAAACTGGAAACATGAAAGTGTTTCAAATTATCTTATACTCTGCTCACTAGATACCATATCCAGGAATTACTTTGCATCCTCTTTGTCTCTTACAGCTTTAAAATAAAAACGAGACCAGGAGACATTGTTCATAGGCTAAAGGAGTTGTTAGTTTTCAACAGGCCAGAAATCAAATATGAAATTCCTTTCTATAGAACTTGGAGGCCATAAGAATTCTAAACTTGGCCCACGAAGGTGCCAAGTAGATGCCAGGAGAGGCACACTTGATACCTTCCTCCAGCAAAGGCGGAAAGGATCATGTTGCTTGTTTACCATTTAAAGAATTCAGTTTTTCATAGCCTTTGAAATGAGAACCCAGGTATTGTTTGGTAGAAAGACTGTAATGTTTTGCAAAATAGGGTATACTGTCTTTGGACAACTAACTACAAATAAATCTTGGGGCTGGAATAAAATCTGTGAACATTTCTACACAGAAAAAAAAAGTGAGAGACTGTTTCCTGGTCATTGGTGTCCTCGTTGGGCATCCCACTGTCTGGGGACAGTGATGATGCCACCTGACACTCAGCACTTGCCACCGCGGCTGCAGGACATGCTGCTCTTGTCCGCAGCCACACCTCTACCTCACAAATGTTACTGCTCTGGGCAGGCACCGCGGAGTCCCCTAGGGAACCTTGTTCCGGCCCCAGGGGTGCTGACCTAGGCTGAGGGACCTGTTTCCTGACCGTGCCTCCTCTGCTGCCTCAGCAACGTGAACAGTGGATCAAGAATCAATTCTAGCAGCCACCTCCAGCCTGGGTCGGGTCCTGTGCCCTGTGTTATTGGAGAGCTTATGTAAACACAGTGACAAGGGACACTGTGGGAGAGGCATCGTGATCAGAAGAGGAGGACTTCAAAGAGGCACACACTGCACCCGCAGAAAGCCCCATATGGAGGCGCTCCAGGGCACGGGACACTTGTGCTATGGCTCATTTCCATCCCAGATTTCCAACTTGGTTACCATCTTCTCGTTGCTTCCATACAGACATGCACAGAGTTTAAATCGAATCAGCATCGCTCCGAACATGTGTCCTGAAGAAGGGACAGCAGGTAGACAGTGCTACGGTATATACATTCCGGGAGGGAACAGGCGTGGCAAGGCAGACACAGCCTCGTGGACGTTCCTTTTAGGTTCGATGCCTCCTCACAGGGTTCTCCTCTTAGCTGGTTCAGTTTTCAGACAGGCAACCGTGCTCCAAGCCCACGCCACAGCACACCGGGAGCGTGGGTCCCTGGTGTCTTCCTGGCTGGTGCCTGTCCCACTGGGTAAGACACAGCTAAACTTCACAGAAGATACTTGTTGCAATGTCTGCTAAATGAGAGCCTTACTCAATAAAAACATTTGAATATAAATCTCTTCTACAGCTTCCTAGCTTGTCCCGCATACCACATTTACAGAAGTCGCATGTGTTACAGTTCGGCGGAAATCATGGACTCGCTGTGCCCGTGAATATTGGCGTCTCCGAGCAGAGATGGCTGCTTGGAGTCTATTTTGTAGGGCTTTTGGGCCTTGTTGCCGAACACCGCGAGGCCCATCCCGCCGGGGTGGCTAGGGAGGGACAGGTGCGGCAGGAGAGGGATGTTGGCTTCCTGATTGGACCCCGAGGAGGGCAGACTGGTCACGTGGCCGGTGCTGGTGGAGCCGCTGGCGCTGCTTGGGGAGCGGCTCTTGGGAGGGGGGCAATGCTGCATCACCCTGGGGGGAGCCGTGGGCTGGTAGTGGGCGGCCGGAAAGGCTGCGTAGCCCGGAGGTATCGGATATCCGTTGATGGGGATGAAGCGCTGGCTCTGAGGTATTGGAGGGCCGATGAAGCCGGCGATCTGGCCCTGCGCGGGGAGGCCCTGGCTCGGGAACATGTAGCTGGGGAACCTGGGGTTGCTGAGGTTGCTCACCGGGCTGGCGCTCAGGGACGTGGTCTGCGTAGTGGCGTTGCCCCCCGAGGGCGTGGTGGAGCTGGTATGGCTGGACAGCCCCTCCCAGGAGCGCAGGCGGACGTGGATGTCCTTGAACCTGGGCCTCCGGGAGGGCACCTCGTGCCAGCACTCGGTCATAAGGCTGTACATCCGGGGCGGGCAGTCCTCGGAGCACGGCAGCAGCTGCCGCTTCCGCACCATCTCGATCACTTCCTGGTTGCTGAACCCGTAGTAGGGCTGGAGTCCGAAGCTGAAAATCTCCCACAAGACCACCCCGAAGGACCAGATGTCGGAGTCGGAGGAGAACTTGCCATACACGATAGCCTCGGGGGGCATCCAGCGGATGGGCAACAGAGACTTGCTCTGCACGCGGAAGTAGTCCGCGGAGTAGATCTCGCGAGAGAGCCCGAGGTCCGAGATCTTGACGTGCAGCTGCTCCCCCATGAGGACGTTGCGGGCGGCCAGGTCCTTGTGCACGAAGAAGTGGCTGGACAGGTACTCCATGCCCGCGGCGATCTGCACGGCGATGTGCAGGAAGTCCGCATGGTCCAGGCTGGACTTCACCGTGCCGTCCTCGTCGCTGCTGCAGCCCACGTCCGAGTGCGGGGAGCGCATGATGAGGAACTCGCGCAGGTCGCCCTGGTTCAGGAACTCGAAGAGCATGCAGGCCGGCTGCTCCTGCGTGACGGCGCCCAGCAGACACGCAACGTTGGGGTGGTGCAGCTCGGCCAGCAGCGAGGCCTCCTGCTGGAACTCGGCCCACTGCTGGGGGCTGCCGCAGTCCCTCAGGGTCTTGATGGCCACCAGCTGGGCGTGGTCCATGCCCGGGAGGTAGAGGTGGCCCTTGTAGATCTTCCCCAGCGCGCACTCGCCCAGCTCCTCCATGAACCGCACCGCGGACAGCGGCAGCTCTTTGGCCTTGCTCTGGAGGGAGGGAAGGGAAAACGTGGGTTAAGACATTCCCCAGGCAAGACGTCCGCGTCTGGAAGGAGGGGCCCACCGGAAAGGCCATAAATAGATCAAAACCGTGGGCTGAGACAAATGGTGATGTGTTTCCTTGTGTTTTCAGCAAAGTAAATCTTACCGATCATTATAGTTTTGTTTGTAGTAGCAAAAGATTAGAACTAACCTAAACGTGCCCTGGAGGAGGCTGATTAAACAGACTATGGTGGGCCTGGGGACGAGCACCTTTCTTACAGTCGTGAAGAGTGAAGATGTTTTCTATGTGTTGCCGTGGAGAGTTCTCCAGTCCTATTGCTCGGTCGAAGATACAAAGCAAAAGAATAGTGAAGGCTGTGCGCTACCTTATGTAAAAGGAGACAGACACCGCGCGTCTCTGTTTCTTTGCATAGAATCGGAGAAGACACGCAGGAGGAAGCAGTGGTGACGGGGGGATTTTCACCTCGTGCTTTTTTTATGCTTAGAAATTTCTGAACCAGGTAAATAATCTACCAATTAAAAAAACTGAATAATTAATTAAATTAAAAAATATCTGGCTGAGGAGCCGAGGATTTAGCTCAGTGGTTTCGCCACCTGCTGTGCAAGCGCAAGGACCTGAGTTCGATCCCCGGTACCAAAAAAATAAAACACAAAACATATCTGGCCAATCTTCTCATCAGACTCATCAGAAAATTTCTTCTGCAATGACAGGTGTTTCCACTGTTCTTCCCTTTGCTGACAGGGTCTGGCCCTGCTTCTCGCCTGCCCTGCTGGGGACGGAACCCCAGCCTTAGGACTAAGCCTCTGACCCTGGGCTTCACCTTCGGACTGCACAGGAAGGGGGTGATGAGGAAGGTTCTCAACTGAACGAACTCGTGGCACTCACACGGTTTTACCCTCCCCCCACTCCCCACAGGAGTATCCCAAGGTGACTTTTTCTCCCTGCATGCAGGTGAGGGATGTTACGGTTTAGATCTAGACCCTTCGCAAGCCATCGTTCACTCACAGGTGGGACCTGCAGAAGGTGGTTGGATCACGAGGCTGACAGCAGACTGCCTGCCAGGGGCGGGGCCTGGCTGGAAGAAGTGTCGCTGTGGGCGGGGCCTGGCTGGAAGAAGTGTCGCTGTGGGCGGGGCCTGGAAGGGTTCCTCTCCCTCCCAGGCTCCCCCCTTCTCCCTCTGCTTCCTGTCCGCTCTGAGGCGAGCAGCTCTCCTCTGCCAGAGCTTCTGCCGTCCCGGCCTGTGGTGGAGCCAACCAACTATGGACTGAAACTTGACACAAAATCAACCTCTCCTCTTTTAAGTTGTGGTTATCCGGTATTTTGTTCCAGCAACAAGAAAGTGACTAGGACAAGGAATTTGAGTAATAATGTTTGCACGTGGTGTAAACAAATCCAGCTGATGCAGCAGTCGTGACCTGAACAGAATCCCTAGGCTGCGGCTGACAGAGAAGTGTAAGAGACTGACACTAACACTCCTTTTGGGAAGATGGGAATTGGAAATGAACCCATGCAATATTAAACTGCTTTCATGAGGAGCTAGAAGCACCACCCTCTTCTCCCAGTTGCTTGAGATTAACCCACAGACAGCATGGTGTAATTCAAACCAAGTGAGCTTTGAGCTCATACAAATCCAGGTTTGCATCTTGTATTGCTGTTTCCTGTTAGTAATAGTTAATGCTCCCCAGCACTATGCGCCGAGCACTTAGCAAACCCTAACTCACTTAACTGTTCGCGGCCCGTCCTGTTCATTAGCGGCTGACCTTGGGCGACCTTCCTAACGTCTCTGTGCCTGAGTCCATATCTATGCAATCCTATAATAAGTACTTTGCATGGTTGCAGTAGGAAATAAATACAACAGTGAATAAAAGTGATTTTCCCCCCACTCAGAGCTCTTTAAATCATTTTTCTTGTCCTTTTGAGGGAAGAAGTTGACAAAGTGGAGTCAATGCAAATGATTTACATTTGCAGCCTTCAGCAGTTCTAGAGTCTTAGAGAATTCCCCGTGTTATTAAAAACTGCTTCAGTGTCTTCCTGGTAACCCATCTCTGTTCTCCTGTGGTTCTGACTTGTTTTCTAAAATCCTTTAACGTGAGAGAGGATTCCTGTGGGGCTGTGGGTTGCGGAGCAGCTGAGTGGCCACAGCCTGCTGCTCTGAGGATTCGGGGAGACGAGGATGGAGTCGAGGCTGCGGGAACAGACGTGGCGAGCGGCCAGGAGAGAGAAAGGGAGGAATTGGGGCCCGGAGACACAGCCTGGGTGTCTGGAGCTGGCTGTATCCCTGCCTCCAAGGTAAGCAAGCTGGGTTCATTTCTGGAAGAAAAACTCTATCTTTTGCCATTTTACAGATGAAGAAGGAGGCTTGGAGGAAGGGTGGGGAATTTTCAGGGGTGCTGAAAAAGCTGGCCTGCACCCCAGAGACGTCTGTCCCAGCCACCCTGCTCCGGTGGACACCAGGGCGGCCTGCTGGCTTGCACACCGAGGGACACACACGCACAGGGTCCTGAGGCCTGGCCCAGGCGCCGCCACAAGGTCCATGAGCTCAGGGCCGCGACTGTGGAGCTGTGAAGCGTGCAGTGGGGAGGCGCACGCTGCCCAGGTGCCGGTACCTCGCCGATGACACTGGGGCCCAGCCTTTCTCTGCCCCACACAGAAGGTAGCTATCAGGGCCACAGTTTCCCAGAGCCCCTCAAAACCAGACTCAGGGTCTGCTTTGCAAGGACGCAGAGGGAGCACATGAAATGGAGACTGTACGAAACCTTTCCTCTGAACACCTGTGAGGCAGCCGGCAGGGAAACGCCCAGGAAAGTTACCCGTAGCTGGGTTTCGGGGAATCATTTACACAGTGATCTTCAATTCTCTAAACGCTCAAGTTACTTGGCACAAATGAGTCTTAAGTATAGAGCCATTTTCAAATTTTACATAAATCCTGAACTAGTTAAAAAATAATAAAGACCCTTAAAGAAGCAGTCAGTAGACTGTGGGATGACGGCAGGAAATTAGCTGTATTGTTGAGGAACAGATGGTTTATATTACACAAACCCTTTAGGCTAAACTTGTTTAGGTCTGGCATATTGTAAATTATATTTTAGTAAGGAAAGTGAAATGACCCCCCCTTGACCCCAGCAGGGTCTGTCTGCTTGAGCCGGTGTAGTGGGAAACTATGAAAGAAAATGAAGTCATAAAGTCTTGGCAGTTCGATTTTGGCTCATTTCAAGTTAAGGGGTTATAAATCTGTTTAGTTTTCGTCTGACAAGTGTTTGTCACACAGGGATGTACAAAATGTAAAGAAGTGTAAAATACATAGGCGGCCCAGGGCCAAGATAAACCAAGTACAAAGGCACACAGGAATGGACGGCCGGGCTCCTATCTCTCTATCACTCCTTCCATTAGTTGGTTGACAAGATGCGCCCGGTTTATTATACACTGAGAGGCAATTAAGTACCTTAAAGCTGAACCAGGCTTTCAGGGGAAATGTTAACATTTTTACTCCTCAACGTAAACACATGTGTGCCTCAGCGTGGTTTTGGAAATTATATAATTTTTGTTGGGGGCGTGGATAAAAGTGGACATGGGAGCAGATACCCTGGGCAGAGACCTGGTGGCACTTCCTCCTCTGGAAATTTATGGAGAGCGACCTCGTGGGGGTGGAAGTGAGCTCTGCACTGCAGGAGGGGAGTTGGCCAGGTGCAGCGGCGGCCGGGTGGCAGGGAGCAAGCTCAGCTGAGGTGGGCAGCTCTCTCGCCTGGGGTAGGTACCAGGTGGTCATGTGTGCCCTCTTCCCACCTCTCCACTTCAGACAGGAAAGCGGGAAACCATCGGTCTGATTTTTAAATAGGGCAGTGAATACAGACGGGTAAAGAAATTCCATTTGACCCAGCTATTCTCCTTCTAGGCGTCTTCCCGAAGGAGTTAAAGACGTCATGTTACAGTGATCCATGCACACCCATGCTTATAGCAGCACAACTCACAATAGCCAAATCTCAGAAACTGTCATCAGCAGATGAAAAGACAAAGAAACTGTGGTATTCACACACAGTGGAGTACTATGCTGCCACAAAGAAGGGTAGACTTGAGTCATCTGTAGGAAATGGATGCACCTCGAGACCATGACGTTAGGTGAAATAAATCAGACACACGAGCTTAGATATCACATGGTTTCTCTTATGAGAAACACAAAATACAAACAAATTAAAGAGCAAAATAAAAGCTAGATAAAGAAGACAGGGAAACAGAACTTTTACAAAATGGCAGGGACCATGAGGTGGAGGAGGAGAGGGAAAGGGATGAAAAGGAGAGTGAAGAGAAGTTACGTTTGCGCAGCAGCTCCCCGTGATGGGTGTGACCATTACGCATTGAAAAGAAGCAGCTGGTACAGGGACTGCCTTTGGGCCCTTACTACAGTCTCAGGTGCAGAGACCCTGGACGGGGCCCTCCTGGTGGAGACGTTCCCCACCAAGCTGCGACTTCCTGCTCACTTTGCTTGCGCGATTACACGAGGGGACAAGCCGGGGCCTTCGCCGTGGCCGCCAATACCTGTGCAGCACGAAGCCAGCTGCGCCCATCCCCTCCGCTCGGTCCTGCCTGGAAGGGCGGTTCTACCGCGTGTCCCACGGGCAGCAGACGAGAAGCAGCCACGGGAGGCCGAGCACAGCCCCGACTGTGGGAGTGTCCACCTGCCACGTGGGGTGATGACCAGGCTGACCATGGCCCTTCCGTCCTGGGCTGCTTTGGGGAGGGGCTCTGGCATCTGCAGAAGGGCAAGTCCCATGTCACGGTGTCCGCCCTTGCCCTATTGGAGGCACGGGCAGGCAGACCCAACCCTCCTGAAGTTAGAGCAGTAGGCTTGGAAGCAGGGGGGCGTCACGAGGCCCTCTTTCTCTTTGGAGCCACAGTGCTGGGCCCCACGACACAGGCCTGGCCCACCTGGAGACCTCGGTGGAACACAATCGCCAGGCCCGGCTGCGTCTCTGGTTCTATAGGCCTG